CTTTATTTTGTTATTTCCCACACTGAATAGTCTGCAGTCCTCCTCAAGCAGGTAGGTCAAGGTTTCAAAAAAATTGCACAACTAAATAAATCGTTTCTGTCTCCAGGTGTTTCTGCAGCGCAATTTGCTCAGCCATCCTGCGTGTCTGTATTTTACAGTTAAGATTTTGGGAAGGACTCTCAGGCTATGCACAAACATAGGCGGAGAAACCTTCACATATATGCAAATTCATATGGATTTGAAAGACATAATTCTAAGGAAACAAGTCCCTGCAACCAGGGAACACGTCCAAGGCATGTTACCAGCTACACTTCAGCAAAGGAACGAGTTAAGTGGCTGCCCAGCATTTTCTTGCAGACTTTGTCTCAAGGGCTGCTGCACTGACTGATGCTGAGAATGTACCCAGAGGAGATTCCTATAACTGCTTCATCCTGACAAAAAGATATTTTCAGTAACCCACTCTGAATGGATTAATCAGAATTCCCTTTTGAGGCAGGAGAGAAATAGCCCTCACTAAAAATTGCAGATCCAAGCTCCCAATGTAACGTCCTTGAGCTGCACTGCACCCAAACCTATGCCTGCTCAAGCTCAGGGATACCAATTAGATCAGAGCTTCTGCGCACGCACTCAATTGAATAATCAAGTTTTAATGCAGACAGTCATGAATGGGAATGAAGGGGACCAGCTTTTTTTTACTGCTAAAGTGAGTGCCAGAATAACTGAAAGAGAACATGAAGCAATATTCCTACTGAAGAGACATTTCAAAGGGAAACCTGGAAATGCAATTGGAGCTTGTTATTTCGTTAAGAGCTTGCTTAGTTATTTGAGGGAGGGAGATACTCAAAAATCCTTAGGCAATCAAAGTCAGTGCCTAATGAGAGTATCTAGGCTTTAAAGGTTCGTTGAGTTTGTCACTAGATGTCAGCCTGCACCTTCGGGTCCCTGTCATTCTGTAGCAACGTGTACCTCTCTACCAGCACCCCACCAGCAATCTGTAACAGGAGGAGAATGGTCATGAAAAATCTCTTAAAGAACTCCATAAGTATTGTTTTGTATCTTTCAGCTGTGTTTATTTTAGTCCATGAAAAGGTGATTGTTACAAACGAAGACATGAACATTTGGAGGAAACAGGAGTGGTTTTGAAGCATGTTCTACCAATTACTTAGGAAACCCCCGGATACCCAGTAGGAGTTGTTGTTAATGTGTAGTCTCAAAGCTGGAAAGACCTTCTGCTCAGGCCACATGCCCGTTGCTGCGTGCACACCCAGAGCAACTGCCCCTTCCTTGCAATGCCCAGGCTGGTGCCCATTCAACACAGATCCAGATTTCATGCATAGCTGGGGCTCACAGCACATGTGAAGCAAAATCTGTCTCTGCTGACGGACAGCTACAGCAGTGCTCTTTGGCCATGCTGGCCACACACTGACCCACACAGCCTGAACTGCCAGTCTGGCCTAAACCAACATGTGGCTGGTTGTGGATGGGTTATGTCTCCTTGGAACTGCAGATTCATGACCTACATCTGGCGGATCAGTGGCTTAAGAGAGAGCTGCCCTCTAAGTCCACAGTCCAGGCCCTGCATATCCAAGGTATTTTCCTGTGTGGGTGATTTGCCAAATGTAAGGTTTTTATGTCTTTAGTGATCAGATACCTGGGGCTTCCTCTGAGCATGGTATCTTGCTAGTATTCTGGGCTAACTATGGGTTGTTCTGAATATCATTTATTTTACTGTGGTGTTTTGCTGGCATAAAATTATGTCTACATTGACATCCACAAAAGCACATGTGTTTTGTCATGCTAAGCACTGCAGAGGATGTCTTTTAGGCAGTTCACTATCTACTGAAATTCATAGTTATGCGTTACACACCTGGGTACCTTTTTATGTGATGCACAAGAATATTTAAGCATCAGGATAGGGATTTAAATTCCAGCAAGCCAAGCAGGAAATTCTGCTGTTCAAAAGCAAACACTAAGAAGAGAGTCTGGCTTTGAGATTCATTCCCTCTTCTTAGTTTGGGTACTTTCTCCTGGCCTATAGAGATATAGTTAGATGTCTTTGAACTCTGGAGTTAAGTCTTCATGGTATCCTTTTCTCACACATTGTATAGCTTTCTTCATCTGCTAGCACAGGCATTAGGGCCTTCTCCCAGAACATGTGAGACCCAAATGCATTTCTTGCAAATCCTTTGACACATTAGGTTGCTAGACTTACAGGTCTAGAAAGCTCTCAGGCTCTTGCATGGCATGCTGAAACTTTCATTGAATCAGGACCTGGGTGCAAGTTAACCATTGCTCTCAGAAAGGGGAGACCTAGAATCCAGACCTGGATCCATTTTCTCTTCTGTATTTAGGAAATAAAAAACGTTGGCACTTCCTCTCTGGGGCTCACACTATAACCTCTATGTGAAGTAGCGTTCAAGGGCTTGCTTTCCCTTTACAATCCAGCAATGGTGACCAACTCACGCAACACGGAACTGTTTCAAGCCAGAGGATTTGCGCACATTCACAGAGTAGCCGAGATTCAGCCATTCCCCAGGGATGCAGAAGGGAGGAAGATGAGTCTCCTAGGCTGTGGGCAAAAGCTCTGCCCACTTATTTAGTATTTCAAAAGGGAAGAGGAAGGACCATAATCTGTACATGCATTGAAGGCAGGACAGGAGAAGCATACCTGGACATAGATACAAAGAGATGGAGGGAAATATTTAAGTTTACAGCCTATCCTAACTTAGTGTGGCCTGGCACAAGGTGTTCTGTGTTGGGATGCAAAGCTGCCTCCCTGGCTTAGGATACACACTGTGGCCAGTCCCAACTGAGAGATCCCCATGAAGCACAGAAATAAATGCTACAGATTTAAGCAGATTTAGGCATGCTCAGGAACAGACTTCTAGGCACAAAAAATTTTACTAGAAAAAACTTTAAGTACCTACAGACTTCAACTGGCAGCCAAGTCAGTATTTAGGAACTGAGGGGGCAGTTGTACAGTACTTAGATGCTCAAGTTCTTCTGTGGATATATCTGATTTCTTCAGAGTCTTTGCATTTGTATACATACGTCCATCAGCTGCCAGCTCACTTCTGCTGTTCTTCTCCAGGCACCTTGCAAATTAGTATCTTCCCAGTTAGCAAGTGCCCAAGGCTGTAGTAGAAGCCTCTCCTGCCTTGAAAAAACACAACAGTTTCTCCTTGCAAGTTGCAGAACCAGCTGCTTCCAGACCAAACCCAAATTTTACAACAGGAGTTACCAACATGTACAGTAAAACTAAGAGAGTCTGCAGAGCATAATTGCCACTAACGGCACTGCAATTTTCTGTGGACAGAAATAGCAAGTTTGCTCCACATCAGTACTTAGAGGTAACAAACAACCCTCTGCAGAAACTATTAGCAGAGTCAGGCAGATATTGGAGGTAGGCTGCAGGGGGAGGGGCTGGAAATAGAGAGGGGGTTTGAATATTGTATTTATATATTCATCGCATATGCAGTATTGGGGATTAACGAACTTGTGTTTTGACAACAAAACCAGAACTGTTGCATTTTTCCATCTTTTAAAAGAAATGTTTTGACCTTTCCATTTTAAATTATTTTTTCCTCATAATTTAAAAAATATTTTTAAAAGTAAATACATAACCTTACCATAAAAAGTTTCACAGCTTAAAATTACATTTTTTTCATGCCTGTAAAAGTTCATTTCAGATTAACTTCAAATTATTTCGCAGATGTCGCTCTGGAACACAGGCTGGAACAGGCATTGTCCCTGCCCTTCTCCAGTGTGCAAGGGCATCAAACTGCAGGCTCTAGGGTGGCTCAGGCCAGAGGAATTGAACTGGAGTTAATTGAAACACTGGCAAGTATCAATGCAGACCCTTAACAGACACTTTAGTAGAACAAAAACCTTTGTGCTTGGTTTTAGCTGAACCCAGAAGTATCCCAGAGCAAGTGGCTTGAAGCAGCTACTATTTTTTCCTTTTTCCCCTTTTTTTTTTATTTACAGTTGTGCTGGTTTCCTGGAGTGAAATGCAAACATTCTGAAGTGCAGCAAGAACAAAGCCCGCAGCCTCAGTGCCTGGGAGAGACGCCTGCCTTGCCGCACAAAGTTTGGGGCTGTGGGTTTTCCCCACAGCAGCCTGGAGAGAGGCTGGGGCACACAACATCAGGAGGCTCACACGCTCCTCTCCAAACCTAGGCAAAGCAGCACCTCGCTGCAAGTCCTGTCCTTGGGTTTCTCCTTGGCTGTCTGGGTTGCTCTATATCCTCACAGCAGCAGAGGGAATGGGGGGAGCTGGAAAAGCAGATCCTGGAGGCAAGCACAATGCTCCTTGTCCCTTCTCTTTCCTAGGTCCCTAAGAGAGGGGAAAGGGGCCAAGCCTGAATAAGCAGCAGCCTTGTACCCACTTGTCCTGCCTGTTCCCATCAGGGCAGGTGTGAAAAAGGACATAAGCTGCCTGATCACCATGCCCTCACTGCAGACTGGGGAGCAGTGACCACAGCCGGGCTGGCATCATTTACAATGCCAGGCAGCAGTGAGAAAGCAGCCCAGCTCCCTCCTGCCACAAATAGGGGTGGGAGGGCTGTTGGCCCCCTGCTGCTTGCACCTCCAGGTTGGGGGGACACAGCCGAAGCCTCCCAGTCTCAATGCACCCCACCCAGCCCCTCTCCTCATTATGGTGCCTTGCACACCCTGCATTCTCCCTGGCTGGAGTCCTATCACCCTCCCCAGTTCCTGTTCCTCAGAACAGGTAGAAGCACTAAAAAGCATCTCCTAGAGACACCCCAATCCACCATTGCCTCCTCCTATTCCTGTTGTCCAGTTTGGGGGACAATTTCAAGACAAAAATTTCCATCAACAAACTTCCAGGAGGAGACACAACCTCAAAAGAGCAGCTCTCACACAGAAGCCCTCCTATACCCCTCCCTCATTCCCTTGTCCCTACAAGGCATTCAATATCCCAGGGCCACATCTTGCACAGACCCCACAGTCCCACCCCCCAGAGCCCCCCGCCCATCTCAGCAGCGCTGCTCCATGGAGCTAGCAGGCAGCAGGTCATAGCGGCTGCTGTACATCACCACCCCAGGGGGGTAGTAGGCCACCTCCGGCTGGACGGTAGCTGCAGGGGAAGAAGCAGCAACAGGGTGGGCAGGCAGCAAGGCGTGCAGGGCCTGCTCCTCCTGCTCAGGCTTGGTGGTGTCGGTGAACGGGCGCATGGTGGTGAGGGAAGGTGAGGTGATCCTCCAGAGGAGGCTCTTCAGTGCCTTGCGAAACTCCCTGCGCATGAGGCAGTAAAGGATGGGATTGAGGCAGCTGTTGGAGTGTGCCAGGCACACGCTGATGGGGAAGAGGTACACTTGGGAGAGGAAGTACTCGGTACTGAAGTGCACAACGTTGAGTTTGATGAGGATGCCCCACGTTGTGAGGGCTTGGTTAGGCAGCCAGCACAAGAAGAAAGACAGCACCACGATGGACACTGACTTAGTCACCTTGGAGCGGCGCTTGGTACTGGGGCCACTGCAGCTGCTACCGACATGCTTGTCGCTGATGAAGCGCACCAGGAGCAAGTAGCAGAGGCTGATGATGGTTAGTGGCACCACGAAGCCCAGCAGCACCTTCTGGATGTGGTACAGACCCAGCCAGAACTGGGCATTGCTGCCTCGGCCCTCGGGGAACTTGACGAGGCAGAGTACATCATCAAAGACGGTGGCAGTGGTGGAAAAAATGGCATGGGGCAGGGAAGCCAGGATAGCCGACAGCCAGATGAGTGCACAAAGCCACTTGGCAGAGCAGCAGCCTCCCAGTGGGTCACCTCGCAGCTGATTCTTCAAGGCTGAAGCCACAGAGCGGTATCGAGCCACACTCATGGCAGTGAGGAAGAAGACACTGGCATACATATTCATGGCTGTCACATAGGAGACAATCTTACACATTGCCTTGCCAAAGAGCCAGTTGAAGTCCAGTGCATTCTCCACTGCCCAGAATGGCAAGGTCAGCACAAACTGGAAGTCAGTCACTGCCAGGCTGGTCACAAAGAGGTTGATGGAGGACTTTCTCCAGCCTTGTTTGCTTTTCATCAGGTAGAGCACCAGCAGGTTGCCCACCAGCCCCAGGGCGCACACCACGGAGTACACCAGCGAGATCACAATCCGCATCACGTCGGAGCCGTCCCCCTGCATCCCGTCGGCTCGCTCCAGGTTGATGTTCTTGAAGAGCTGCAGAAAGGACATGTTGCTCCTGTTGCCCATCTGGGCGCCGTCCAGGAAACCCAGCGGCAAGTCCCAGGACTCCCAGTCCGCTCCTTCCTTCATGCCGGCGGCTGGCGAGCAGGCACCGCGCTCGCAAGGCTCGTCCATCCCATGCTAGGGAGGGCGACGGGTCCGCGGGAGCCTTTCCCCAGACCCCCGAG